AAATTAAGAATAAAAACATCCCGTGCTTTTCAGTATAACTGTAAATTAAAAAACAACTTGCACAACATAGACAATAATCTAAGTGGGAGATTTTATTGCCTGAGTGTCCTAAAAATGTGTTTTGAACTTCTTCCCGCAGTCCCTTTCCAAGCAGGAGACGGGCCAGGTTGCTGGTGTAATTCTTATTAACAGTATACGGGCAGGCGAGTAATATTTTACAAAAGCAGTGTAGAGAAGGTGCTTTGTTAGTGAGGATTTCTGGATTTCCATTTTCCGTTCCAAAATTATTAATTATGTTATTTCAACAAATGATTTTGGTTTGTTGTTCGCGTGTCGGCGTGTGTTTGGGAGCAGGTTGGAGCGGCTTTGCCGCGCGTTCGCTTTGCTTTCCCTGCTGTGTTTTTAGATCCTGTTTGCTAAAAATCAGCCTTCGTGCACACTGTACCTCTGCCTGTTATCGAATAATCTGGGATTATTTCTCAGTTTATCAAGCGCTGGTTTAAACTCCGATGGTGCACCCCGTGCATCCATCCGCACCGCGGTCCGAGTCTGGGGGACGGCTCCCGTCGGGTGCTTGCGCTTGGGAGTGCCGGTCACGTTCCAGGACACAACCTCACTGAACAGAGTGTTAAGCACTCTGATGGGCCGTTTCTATGTCTAAAAAAGCAATAATTTAAAAAAAAACATGCACACCAGCGCCACAAAAACCCCTACACAGGCGTGGAGGTGTTCCAAAGTGAGATGATGGTGGTCTTGACGCGTTTCTAGCTGCCGTGGTCTGGTTCTCATTTCTGTTTCCATACCATGCTGGCGTTGCAATTCACTGGGCCTTGTTAAAGTGATGAGTTTCACAGTTCTGGTGTAGCGGGAAGGTACCCACAGGGAAATGAGAACCAGCTCGCTGAAGCTGTCCCTTCTCCCTTCCTTAATATCCAGAGCTGCGTAAAGTACTGAGCAGGTCCCGAACCCGACTAGCGTGAATGGAAATGCTGTATTTTTGGTAGAATGCCTAAAAAAACAAAACTGCAAGTTCCCGAGTTTCCTCGTGTAAACGCAGAGAAGTTTTTGACCGTGTGTTACTTTGGTAGTTCGCATTTTGTTGTGTCCTGCGTTGGGCTTGTGCTGCGTGTGTTTATGTGACTACTCGAGACAGATGAAAATCCTTTTACTGAAGCTCTAATCTGTTTGTTTTGGGGTTTTTTTTTTTCTTTACTTTAGCTGTGACACTATTTATAAATCTAAATCTACACGCAGAGGTCATTGGTTGGCTGAACTTAAACCATTTTACTTAGTAAATTTAATTAAGAAAATACAGTGCAACTCATAAGCAAATGAGTTTTTCCTAGTTTTAAACCAAACCACCCTCTTGAGTGCTGATTGCCTTGCTCGACCCCTGGTGATATAGAAACAGGCAAAATTAAAAAGGACATTAAAGCTTCATTAAATCTGAAACACATTTAGTACAGTGACATATCTGCAGGCTATTTCAGGGAAGATTACATACTCTTTGGTAAGTTTCTTAATTTATAATACCTTGACAATCTTGCGGGGAGGAAGCAGCTCTGCCTAGATGAATCGAGCGATGCGGAACTGGCGCGTGGCTGCGTTGCTTTGCAGTTCTCAGTCAAGGAGCAGCTGCACTGAGAGACGTGCTGCTTTTCTAGCAACCCCCAAAGAGCTTGGTCCTGATGCGTTTCGGATTCTTCGGCGCTCATTTATACTCCCCGTACTTACGTCTGGCAGAAAACTGCTCTTTCCCCAATTATTCTGCTGCCTTTGGAGCCCCTGCCGAGGCGTGTGGTGGTCAGGGAGAGGAACCCTCAGTGAGAATGGAAATGCTTGGTTTGAAGTCATCATCGAGGCCGTTTTTCCACTTAAATACGATCTGCAGAGTGATGCCCAGTGCATGTAGCCATAATTATCTTCTTGTTCTACAGTGGTATAAACATTACATTCCTACAAGTCTGTAGCTATTGTAGTGACTGTTCTTAAGTCAATAGTCATTAGCAAAAAACAGAATTTCTTCTACTTCGGTTCATGGAAAAGTGTTTGGCATTTATAGGTTTATTTCTAGGCATTTGTAGGCTATCACAGCAGCAGTCCTAGGATCTCAAGCAGCTTTTTGGAAGTTAAGGATGGTCCTCCCAAAAGAAGAGAAGATGAAAAGGGGTGTGTTTTAGTAGCTCCTGGTCCTTAAGACTGAGCATAACGCAAGGTCTTCACTTAACTATTTAGCAGTGTATTTGAAAGCCCTCCGTCAGAGAGTGACTGGAGTGACACTGAGCTGGGAGCAGCTGGGAGCCAGACGCCGGTGGTGGAAAGGATGGCCATCAAGCCTGCTTAGCTCAGGTTACTTTGTTATGAGGATGAATTTGCTGCAAAGAGAAGCACTGCGCTCACCACTGCACCCGAAACAAAACTGAAAGGCAGAATTCGCCCACAGACACAGAATGGTAGGCGTTGGAAGTGACCTCTGTGGGTCATCTAGTCCAACCCTCCTGCCGAAGCAGGGTCACCTACAGCAGGCTGCACAGGACCTTGTCCAGGCGGGTCTTGAATATCTCCAGAGAAGGAGACTCCACAACCTCCCTGGGCAGCCTGTTCCAGTGCTCCGTCACCCTCAGAGGGAAGAAGTTCTTCCTCATGTTCAGACGGAACTTCCTGTGCCTCAGTTTGTGCCCATTGCCCCTTGTCCTGTCACTGGGCACCACTGAAAAGAGCTTGGCCCCATCCTCCTGACACCCACCCTTCAGATATTTGTAACCCCAAAGAGTTGAGTCTGAAAGGCAAACCTGGAAGACAAAGCACAGAAGAAACCCAGAGGAGAAAGTTAGCTTAAATAATATCCCTCTGGAGAACCTGAAGAGATCTTACTGGTCTTGTCACCTCAGTGTTGTTCCTATTCCCGTGTCTCTTGCAAGCCTGGTTCCTTCTACGTTCTGTAGGCGTTGGTCTTACAAACCGAGCAAACACAGCGATCCCCGAATGGAAGTCTGCGAGCAGATCACTGCTTTCAGAGGGATGAGGGACACAACAGAAATATCTCAGAAAAACTGCGTGTGTTATTGCTGGTGGGGATCATCGGTGAACACCACACTGATGTAGCAGACCATAATGGCTCCTCGTCATTATGCAAACTCCCACTGATGAGATATTTGGGAAAAATTGGGGCGATTTTTCAGGGATGCATGGAAATTTAGCTATGCAGTTCCTGTAACTATGACGTGTCTGTGCAGTAGTGAGCGCTCAGAGACGTTGTACAAACCGAGTAGCCCTTTAGAACCCACTTGGTGTATCTGTAGAGTTTCAGGACAAATACTGTCTCAATATTGTGAAAGCTTCTTTGAAGAGTAGTCACCAAAAAAATTGTTTCAGCTTTTTGAGTTTCTCTTGCATGCCCCTCTTACACAAGTGCTGGAAGACCTACTCTGCTTTTGTAATGTTGCTCCTCTGAGGAGCTGGAAGAAGTTTACTGCATTTGCTAAGGCTCACAGCCAAATGACTGGTACAATACTGGAATGGCTGGTACGATACTGGGTTTGGACAGCAGTGGGAATTGCAGAAAGGGCACCATCTCTGCTGTTTTCTGGTTGCTTCAACTCATGCTGTTAGCTTCTGCTTGCTACCTTCTCGTGACCTGCTTCCTGAACTGGTGAGGCTGGAGAATGTCTACTGGTCTTCGCCCCATCAGTTCCCCACCTTGCTACAGCTCTGCCTGTGCCTCATTTTTTGTACCTGGGATAGTTTAGCGCTGCCAGCCAGGCTGCAGTTTCACCGTAGTTTAGCACAGCTGCCTCAGCTGCAGTCTGGCTCGGTCGAGTAGCCACGGCACCGAGGAGCTCAAATACCGGTGGCAGTGCAGGTGCCGTGGAGCAGCTTCTGCCCAGCGCTGACGTGTGGTTTAGCCTTTGCAGTACGTGACACGGTGGCGTAGACCTTCAGCACTGATGCTGTTACTCAGTCTTGATGTGAGTCTACCTAGTTCGTCACGCAGACGAATTGGTGGTGGTGGTGCATCCGTAACCTTTTTGGTAGATCTCCTTCAGAAGGTTGGTCAGGGGACGATTCACGAAGGTTGACCGGAGTGGAGTCAGACGAGCTTCTCTACAGCTCCTCTGTAAACCGTGAAGAGAGGTGGGCTTCTCCAGAAAGCAGGTCAGAGCAGAGCTGCTCTGAACGCCCTCTCGGAGGAGTCTGTCAACTCTGAAAACCCTTGTCCTTCACTGACTAGCAGACAAAATAACTTACACCAGTTGTATTTTGGTGAAATTGTTTCCACGATTCAGATACCAAATGGGAGAACCTAAAGTCTTGTACAATCAATTTATCATGGAGTATTTATTAGCTCTAGCATTATGGCAGCAGTAGTGGTGGTGGTGGGTCTGACACTACTAGCAGATGCGCGAGGAACGCGTCAGATGACTGCTGAAACCGTGTGGGCACCCAACCCAGCTGATGCCGCGTGCAAGCGGAAGCAGATCTGAAGAAGAGACGCGGTGCCATTTTGCAGGTGCCGCCATCTCTCTCCGGATCCCATTTGCAGGTTCCTAGCGGGGTTTGACACCGATAAGGAACCTCCGCGGCGTAACCCAGATTTTCCTCTGAGCCGGTTAGGGAAGGACTTTGGGACTTCAGTGCGTGCTCTGCGATACCTGTTCGTTGCAGATAATTATCAGTAAAGGTCAGTGTCATTGGCCTCGCTGCTGAGGCTGAACTGGTTTAATTTAGGGAGTCCTCAGGAACTTGGGCATCAAACAGTGTTACTGAAAGGTACGGACAAAAGAACTGGAGAAACACGGAAATATTTAGAACCGGAGAACAAGGGGTAATTGTTGTGAACGACTCCATTCTAAATACAGCTCTTTGTGTGTTTGCAGAATTACTTTTGCTGACATTTTCCAATTTATACGATAGTAAGAGTTGAGTACTTTTCTCTCTTTAAGAAAATGTGCCCTCCATGCAAATCTATATAACTAGACAAATATTATTTCCTTTCCCAGCTTGCTCTTGGGAGGTTTCCATATCCTCAGGTAAGATTGTTCATTACTGCTGTTTGCCACTGTGACATTCATTCCTATGTATGAAGGTGCAGAGAGCAATCGTGAACATTTGAGCCACATACAAATAAATCTGTCCTGTTAAATTGAAAAGTGGTATCTTGAAGGAGTCATTTAGAAGTCTCTATTGATTTTTTTTTTTCCCCCTCTTTTTCTCTTCTCCAAACTCTAATTTTTGTTTCCCTGGAGACAATGAAAATTATTGTGATGTTAATGATTGTTTTGTTGTGAGATTAAAAAATAACCCAGTGTGTACAGCAGTGCTTTTGAAGCAGGAAGGTGTACCTACTCCTTTTTTGTATTTTAATTTTTAATTCCCATTTTGAATAATGGTACAATGGTCTCAGATCTTCTCAAATCAAAAATACAGTGTAAATGGAATACTTAAGGGAGCTCTGAATCCCCCCCTTTTAAGAGGACCTAATATCTGTATTTGATTTAGATACTGGCATTTTCTAACTTTCCACGGACCCAACTCAGTTCCTCTGAAGCTGGTGGCAAAATGGTTTCCATTCAGTGGCGATGCTGAGGCCAGTGCTGAGCATTGTATTACCACGTAATATTTTACTTTGTGTGCTTGAAAAAATGTGAAGCTCTGAACAAAACAACCAGTCCAGAAATAGGTTTGATGATTACTTCGAATCCGTATTGCAAGATGGATGTTAAAATTCATAGTAACAAACTATTCTGTAGTTGCTCAAATTATTCTTTCCTGGGAGAGGGGAAAAAGTGAAGTGTCCAGGGACTAAAAGGAATTATTTGAATGTGTTTTTTATGTTTTCATATGTTTTATGCACACTGTTTTCTGCATCTTGGTCTATACAGATCAGAGTGCCTGGAGGCATGTCTGATTTAAAGGTGGTGTTGGTCTGTGCTCTTTAAGCATCTATTAACTTGCTATTATTATGCAAATAACTGTTGTAATACACATACTAATTTATGCATGGTTAGATTATGCAGATGCCTCACAAACATGGTTATTGAATAATAGGCTGGGACTCATTCTCTCTCCCATTTTTATAAGCAGTTTTAAGCGAATTCTCCTGACACTTTCAGGGACTTGCAAAGGTTTTGCCCACGTAGAAATATACTGATTTTTCACTGCCTCATCTCCTATGGAAAACGTTTGCTGGCCGGAAGAGCTGTGACTGGTTGGCAGAGCGCACCTTGGATATGTGAGCCACATTTTAAAACGTACCCTCTCCTTTGAGAGGGGGCTGAAAGAGGAGCTCTGGTGGTGAAGCGGCCTCCATCCGTTGGCGTGCTCGCTTCTGCGTGCCGAGTGCCCGGTGGGCGCTGGACACGGGGCGTCGTAACGCTCCAGCAAGGCGACGCGGGACGCGGCGCGGGAGAAGCCTCTGCTCGCGGGAGCAGCGGGGCTGGGGGAAGGAAGTTAGAGCGCGTGCGTTGTGGAGGATTCTAACCAAAAGTTTGTTTTCTGAATTGGGAGCAAAACATCGTTGCTAGTTTAAGATCCTTTTTGCTATTCTAATTAAAAAAAGGATCGGGTTTGTAAAAGAATATTTGGCAAGTCAGTAGCCCATGAAATTGTATATATTTTTTAATGTAAAGCAGTTGAGGAGGTGAAACTTTAAAATGTAGCTATTAAGCTTTTCAAGCAACTGCTGTTCATAAAGATTTTTATGTGGAGAATATGTATTTTAGACATGTTCTTGCATAGCTGGTCAACAGAACCCTTAGAAACCCATTCTGATTAGGGGTGTGATTAGTAGGGGTTTTTTTAATGTCTAAATATTTATGTATCTCCCTACTTTAGGGCCTGATTCTGCAGTCACTCACTGGAGTAAATCCTCCTCACTTCGGTGGGCTCATTCAAATAAATGGAGCTCAGCGTAGGTGCGCTTGCAGAATTTGGCCCTGAAGAACCTGAAGTTCCTTCGCTCTGAGCATCAGAAGTGTGGATCGTGTTTGAGAACGCCGGAAGTTTCCTGCAGATGAATGCTGGTCTCCGGCTGTAGCTGGAAAACAAGTTTTTCTTGTTCTTTTTCTCTATTTTTGAAGACACAGACAAATGGTGTGTGTAAATTCAGTTTAAATGAAGAAGATTTATAGGGGAGATCATTGCAGTGTGGCAATCCAGGACTCCGGCAATATGCCAGTAAGACGAAAGGTGGATATTTTTTATTTTTTTTTGTTTCCCCTGGCCTCTAGTAGAATATCTTAATCCTGGAACTGACCACTTCTCATTTGCCACATCTTTTAGAAGTATTTATTTTGCTAACACTTATTCGTCACGTGGTCATCATTTAATCTTATGTTCACAGTAAAGCGTTATCTTGGAAGCGCCCGAGCGACTGCTGGTGTAGGTGAAGTTGCTTACGGGGGTGGTTAGAGTTCCTGTTGGATTTCTGGTCTGGGTACGCGGTGAACTTCGTAATCCGTAGCTGGCTGCCCAAGGCAGCCATCCGAATGAGGGGAGAACAGCCAGCAAGGAGGAGGCTTTTCCACGAGAACAACTTTGCAGAGGGAACTCCAGTCCGTCGGACGCAGTCGGTTGCTCAGACGGAGCTGGCTGGCGTCGGTCGGTTGTTGGTTGTCCCGGCGTGGGGTTGCAGCGCGCTGGCGGTCGCTGGCTGTGGGGTCCAACCGCTCTGGGGAGCGCTGGGTGTGACGCTGGTGGGTTCCGCTGTGGGCACCAAGGGAGGTGCTTGGGGTGGGCTCCTCCCCGGTCTGTTCCCTAACGCTGATAAAACCAGTAGGAATGGTGCGTGCGCTCACACACACGAGTCTCTTCTGAATGAAGTTCCTTTCTGCGTTTAAACATTCAAAAAGGAAAGGAAACTCCTTCCACCAGACCCCGTTGCTGGTCCGTGGTCCGTCCAGCTTTTTAGGTAGCTGAAGAAGGCACAGAGGGAAAAGAAGTTTCAAATTTCTTTTAAAAGTTTAACCTCAGTTGGTGTGGGTTTGGTTTCACGTGTCTGTGCAGAATGAGGTGTAAAAAACCCTCCAAAAGGCCGTGGCACCTCGCAGTATATTTAATTAAATTTGAAGTTGGAACCCCAAAGCTGCGCCGTGGCCGAACAAACCACGCGACGTACGGTTAATCACGAATCCAGCGCGTTGTGTAAAAACGCGATGGGGGCAATGACTTCTTTAATGATAACGCAATTTAGGAGAAATGAAAAGAATTGCCCACTAAATATTCTCGGCTTGTAGTCAAACTTTGTACAAAGCAGGGTGTGAAAAGGATGCCGCATCCGTTGGGGAAATACTCCAAGGCAGCTGGCAGCACTCTGCTGCTGAGGGTTTCAGCAGCAGCAGGAAAGTGTGGATTAGGACGACTGTATTTAAGATATTTTTGCGTTTAGAGAAAGGTTTTCCTTCCTTTGGCTGCAATTCTAGGCCTCGCTTAATATATTACATGAAAAAGACCTGAAGTTTAAAGAAAAATATTAAAAGGCACCAAAAAATCCTGTGTCTACCCCCCCCTTCCGCACCCCCCAGCCCGCTGCTCCCCCT